ATCTGTAAAGGCTATACGGGGGATCTTTATATTTGTTAAGTATATGTGTTTTGATGTGGGGAGCAGCGGTGTAGTGGTTAGGGCACTTTGCTATGACTCCAGTGACTTAAATTCAATTCGCGCTCAGGGCCAACATGATAACTGAATTTGTTCCTGGACCTCCCCAAGATTGACCCAGTCTTAAGTACATGGTGAGGTGTATAATCATCAGCACTGGAGGTCAAGGCAGCCCAGCGTGGTCCTAGCCACACCATCTCCGGTTCAGATAACTGTCACTGGTGTTGACTGTGAGCGGGAATCAAACTCGGGTCGCCGGGTTCATAGTGCGATGCGCGATCTGCTACTGGACTACCGATCCCCACATGTATACACACATTGACAAAAAAATGAACATACACACACATTGACACACGAGGGAGGAGCCGTGTGCTAAGCGTGTTCCGGGAGCTGCTCTCTCACCGTCTCTCAAGGTCATCTATCCCTGACCTCCGGCTACCTTCTCCACTTTGAATGTGCCAGGGGGCTGTCCCTGCATAAAGGGATTCCTCGGGGGCCCTGAAACCGTGAGTCCTTAATATCATCGAGAAGACTTGGCAAAGGAAAAAAGAGCAAGGGTAGGTGACTGCAGTGGTTAAATGTAAATGGAGTTGCGTGCATTTGCTGTAGAAAGGAAAGGGTGAAGTAGAAATGAAGACATCATTCTCAGACAAACATGGAAGCTGCCAACAATGGGAAAAAAAATAAGGAAAACCCGTCAATGTTTTAGCTTAAAACATAGAGGGACAACGATGTAAGGAGCAACACGTGAAGAGACTTTGATACTTCCGGAATGACTGACCTGCCTTGGGTACGTTAAACAGAATGTAGATGATGTGATTATTATTATTTTGCTTGTTTACCCACGGTGGCTTTATTTTGGTGATTTCGAAAAGTGTATTGGTTTAGCCATGTTTGTTTGTTGTAGTACAGAGTTAGACTGATGGCCTTAATCTAAGTTGTCTTGTGGTTGTTGTTGTTGTTTTACTTGCATCCCACTGGGATTTTTGCACACAGCGTTGGTGTACGGTGTTTTTTCTGCAATATTTTTGCTGTCTTTTCTTGGATTTTCTGTTTGCACTTAGTCACATATTCACTTTAAGATGTTTTTTGTTCATGTTTTTGTTTTTTGTTTGTTGCGGTTGCACCCGATTCAAGAGCTGAATGGCTCACAGGGCTATACCTAATAAATGAACTTGAAAGCCTCACTGAGTCCCCGACTCTTTCACGAGGGCCCTGCCAGATTCTTACACAAGGGGGCGATGTTGCTGTTGTGCAATTACATTTGAATAATTTGCAGGTAATTTTTCGGCATTGGGATGTTTGGCCAATACCGGTAACAATGTGTGTGGGGAGTGGTAGTATAACGGTTGGCACGCTGCGCTACGAACCTGAGTTCGATTCCTGCTCACGGCCAACACCTTCGACAATTATCTGAACCGGTACTGGGCCTCCCCTAGGTCGACTCAGCCTCAAATGAGTACCTGATGCGGTGTGTAAACATCGGCACTCGAGACATAAAGACAGAGAGTGTGGTGCTGGCCACCCACCCTCTCGTGTGCCGTGCCAGCCTTCATAGATGCTCACTAACATCACTTGCTCCAACAGTCTATTACAGGCTATACGGTGGGTCTTTGTTTTTGTGGTTCGCGACGAGATGAAACTGAGGAACCCGGAGCAAACCCATGCAGAAGAACAGAGTGGTATTTCACCGACGCGATGCTGCACTTTCACTTTCGACTTTGTACAAACCAACACATCAAGTACTCATTTAACAACCACATCAAAGTACTCACTTAAAGCTAAATCTACCGAGAGGAAGCCCAAGCCAGGTTCTGATACCATGTGCCACTGTGATCTACATGGCAAGAAATTGAGCCCAGATCAAAAGGTGCTTAGCATGTGTTAAATATTATGACACATATAACTACAAAGTTACACACTGTCTGCATCCACGTCCACACACACGCCTACACACACCTCTGTATTCACACACGTCTGCATACAACAACAACAACCGCCATTCACCACTAAGTGGCGGTGACGTCACCACGACGCTTGTGCCAGGCCATGTGCACCTTGAGGCCACGTGAAGTGTCGAACGCCCGCTGGTAGGAGGTCACGGGGCAGACTGAGATGACCGAGATCACTGGCTGATGCACCGCCTGTGCCCCCTACTGTGCCAACTTGCTGTGCTTTAGCCACCCGGCGCTCCGCTCATTGTTGTGAGCGTCGCTCCTCCGCCCTCCGTTGTTGCTGGAGGGCGACTGCCTCCAACTGCCCAGTAGCGTCCTTCACGAGCATCCTCTACAGAGGCCTATCTTGACACCGCTGGTACCAGTCATCGGCAAGTCCACTCAGCTCCACGTCCTCCTGTACCACATCACTCCATCTCTTCTCTAGCCCGTGCCGCGCCCGTTTAGCCCCCTCGATCCGGCCGAACAAAAGCTGTTTCGGCATGCGGTGGCTGGGCATGCGGGCTACATGACCCAGCCAACGCAGCCTTGCCTGCCGGAGGAGCTCACCGATGGGACTTTGCCCAGATCTTTCAAGGATTTGTGAGCTCCTCACACAATCCAGTCTGATTAAATCCAGGATGGATCGTAGGCAGGCCAGCCTATATGTTTCCAACCGGCGAAGATGCTCCATTAAGGGCGTCCACGTTTCGCAAGCGTAGAGATGGGAGGGAATGACTGTGGCCGAGAAGACTTGAAGCTTCGTGCGGAGCGACAGACCAGGTAGCTTCCACACAGCGTTACGCAACCAATGAAAAGATATTGCCGCTCGACTGATTCGGAGTGAGACCTCTGCTATTAAACTGGAGCTGGTCTGCATACACACACGACCACACACACACGTCTGTATACACATACACACGTCCACACACACATACACACACTCCCCTCCCCCGCTGCCCCCACCTCCTGGAGGCCGCAGGCAGCAGCCTTGCCTTACCCGGGCGCTTCACGGGCGCCGTATGGAGCCTGTTGGTTACTTAGCAACTGCGCTGATGCAAGCGCCAATCGTCGCCGTGGTTACCACATTATCGCTGCGGCGACTACACCCACGTTAACCCTTGGACTGCAAGACGCGGAATGCCAGGAAGGGAGAGAGGGAGACGCGGAGAGAGGGGCGAGCGGGATACAGAGACAGAAGGGAGAAAGGGAGGGAGAGATGGCAAGAGAATAGAACTAGAGCAGAGGACAGAGGAGAAAAAATTAACCCGTAAAAACAAAGTTTTTCACTCTAAATCCTTTATATGCGTGGTGGCTAGAGTCCTCTCGTCCTCTGGCTTGAGATGGCTGCCACCTATGGGTCAGATGATTGTCTGCCAGCATTAAGCAATTGGTAATTAAATATTTTAAAAAATTTCCCTAAACAGTGAAAATTAATTGTCACGCACAACGAGTCTGTGTGGAAAATGTCAGCTCGATTGGATCACGGGAAGTGGGTTAAAAAACGACCGAAAGATTTGCACGGTCGTAAGCAAGCAAGCAAGCACGCAAGCACGCAAGCACGCAAGCAAGCAAGCAAGCGAACTTAAAATAAAGGATTTAAAAAGGAGAGGGAGGAAAGGAGGAGATGTGGGAGAAGAGGAGACCAAGACAGGAGAAGAGAAAGAGGGAGACTTAAGAGAAAGAAGTAAAATCAAGTCGATGGAGTGAGATTAATGAGAAAGGAGGGAAAGAAGAGAGTGCAGTGAGGGAGAGAAGGGGAGGACGAGGGGAGTGGAATGGTGGGAAGCGCTGGGTAAACGGGGGGCTTCGCACCAAACGGAGCATTGAAAATCAGAACGTCAAAAAACGAGAGAGACCAGAGCCACAGCATCCATGAGCAGGCAATGGACGCTTCACCTCTCAATTTCCAACTCTGGCCATGAGCGCTCCCAAGTCACCGGAACATTCTGAGCTCATTGACGTCCTGTGCGGAGCCCCACTCCGCACTGCGTGTGGCGTCCTCTGCAGTGCGACTGCTCCCCTGAGCGCGTTACTGCACATGAGCCAAGTGGAGTCTCATCATGGCCGTGTAAATGTACAGAACCCTCGTCTCATCCAATACAGAACCCACGTCTCATCCAATACAGAACCCTCTCTCATCCAATACAGAACCCTCTCTCATCCAATACAGAACCCACGTCTCATCCAATACAGAACCCTCTCTCATCCAATACAGAACCCACGTCTCATCCAATACAGAACCCACGTCTCATCCAATACAGAACCCACGTCTCATCCAATACAGAACCCACGTCTCATCCAATACAGAACCCTCTCTCATCCAATACAGAACCCACGTCTCATCCAATACAGAACCCTCGTCTCATCCAATACAGAACCCACGTCTCATCCAACACAGAACCCACGTCTCATCCAATACAGAACCCACGTCTCATCCAATACAGAACCCACGTCTCATCCAATACAGAACCTGTGTCATATCAATACACCCCCATTCCTCATCTGATACAGGATCCTCGTCTTGTCCGATAGTGAAAACTCGGTCTCGTTTGTGATAGAACACTTGCTCGATCAGATACACAACTCTTTTATCATTTCATGTATTATCAGATGCACAACACTTGTCTCATGTGATGCAGAAGACGTTCTGTCTCATCTGGTCCATGGCCTCTCTGTTCCAGAATTATGTAAACGTCCAGTAATTCATAGGATTGACTAAATATTCAATGTGAGTCATTGACCGCCTTGTTCATAGACAGCTGCGTGCGGTGTTTGATAGTGGTATGCAGATAAAGGGTAGAGTGGTGGCTCAGTGTGAGTGCTCTAACACAACGAACCCGGTCACCACTGTGACACGGGGGACACGGTGACACGGGGATATGGTGACAGGGAGACAGGAAAAGATGGTCAAGGGGAAGACAGTCATGTGGTAACATGGTAACATCGTGACATGGGGACCCGGGAAGACGGAGACACAGGGACGCGGGGACACAGGCTATGCCTCACCTGGCGAGTGGTGGTGGGGAGTCTGGCGGCGTATGGAAGACGTGTGAGTAGGACTGGTAGGGTGTCTTGCGCAGGGCCTGCAGCAGGCTGGGCCGGTACTCGGGGTCAATGCACCACAGGGAACCCTTGCCAATGCCCTGTAAGCACGCACACACACATGCACACATATACCCGCACGCATGTATAAGAAAACACATATAGAGACATGAAATGAACCCTTGTCACATCCGATACAGAACCCTGGTCTCATCCAATACAGAACCCTGGTCTCATCTGATACAAAAACCTGGTCTCATCCGAGATAGACCCCTGGTGTCATCCGATACAGAACCCTGGTCTCACCCGATACAAAACCCTGGTATCATCCGATACAGAACCCTGGCATCAGCCGATACAGAACCCTGGTCTCATCCAATACAGAACCCTGGTCTCATCCGATATAAAACCCTGGTCTCACCCAATACAGAACCCTGGTCTCACCCGATAGAAAACCCTGGTATCATCCGATACCGAACCCTGGCATCAGCCGATACAGAACCCTGGGGCTCATGCGATACAGAACCTTGGTCTCATGCGATACAGAACTTTGGTCTCATCTGATACAGACACACACATTTGATCCAGAAGGCAGGTAAAACAGACCAGTGCACTGTGGTATGCATACACACCACATCATGCATGCATCCATGCATTTAAAACTGAGTCAATCTAAAGGAGGCCCATGACAGGTTCAGATACCACTTGCCACTGATGAGATAACACATTTGCATCCACATGATGCATGCTGCTCATAATGTGTGGACGCGTACGGTGACGTTAACAAGCGAATTACTCCATAATATGTACACGTTGGTTGCATGTCTGCTGCACCTATGCTATCGTTTCAAGTGCTGGTTAAGTCGATATTATAATTGGTGTTATCAGTTTTATCGGTATTGAGCTATCAAGAGCCACGGCACGCCGGGATGAAGATCGGCCATTGGCTCCAGAACTCCTAGAGTTGGCACTGCCTCGTGTCATTACGCCAAGCGAGCCGACACCGACGAACTAGTTCTGTTGCAGCCACTTCAGTAGGCCTCTTTAGCCATAACCAGGGCAGAGTGATTTGCTTCATGTAAGTCGCCCGTTGCGCTTCAGCAGATCCGAGCCATGAGAGCAGGGTTGGCCAAATTGCGCAAACAAACAAAATGAAACCAAGACAGGTTGAGATGGGGGCTGAGATGGAACCATAAATTCAGTGCGCACAAGAACCGGTCTAATGATGATGTCATGGCGGTTAGAGGCCTGCGTTCAATCCAACCGGCTGGCTCAACGGCTCTGACACAGCCATTATGCACCTCTCGGCCACCGCACCTCCAAATTGGTGTGTTAACCCCAACGCAGAGAGAGAGATAACGCACCTCAAGGGGCCCCCTGCCTGATTAAACCCGAGGGGAATCGAATTGAGGTCACAAAATACAGGACTCCCTCTTGGGGCCCTTCACGTAGGGATCCGTTGCTCTTGGGTCAAAGCCACAAAGGGCTCACGTGAGACATTCAAACACCCCCACACATTTGGTTTCTCCCTTAATTCCACCCGGGCCATGCTTGAGGCCCAGCCTCAATGAAGCCGTACAGGACGCGGAGCAGCCCCCCCCCCCCCCCCATCAAAGGGGGCAGGGGGTGCCGTCTCAAGCTGGGAGCTGCGCCTTACGGAGGCGCTCCCCACTGTAGTACCGTCCCTCTCGGGCCGTCGTGACAGCACGGGGGGGGGGGTCCACAAGCAGCGCATCTCACTCCGAGATCGCCGCATCTCACTCCGAGATCGCCGCTGGGCTATTTGTCATTTAAGCAATCTATGTGTAATTTTGTGTTAGATTTTGTGTTAGATCGCACATGGATCTGGCAAAAATTAAATTCGTGTCCAAGGGTCCGAGAGATGCCCGATGCAGTTTCAAGCGAAGCGTCGCATTATCTAATCGCTAGCTGTGGCTGTGAAAGTCGCTCTCCTGCCTCACCAGTGGGCGAGCTGAAACAATAAGAACGGGTGAGTAGTTAAAGCGCTTTGTCCGCCACGTGCAATTTTTATTTGTTTGGCTTTGTCGGGTGGTGGAGGGTCTTACGACATAAATTTGACCAGATCGTTACTTGCATTTAGTAAATATGCGCTTTTTGCATTCAAGCTGCAATGGTGAAATCTCACCGATTGAGAATGTAGAGTTCACCATGTCCTAGCCACACTACTGGACATGTGACGCAATGAGCCGAAAAATCATCGTTGCCACAACTCCTACAGGTGGCGGGAGCCTCACAGTGTCACACCAGGGGACCGCCATGGAACACCACATACCACAGAAGCAACTCAACAGGAGCCACTGGCAACACCAAAAAAATGTCATTGTCAAAGCAACAAATTTTATTGAAAAATACGTTAGCGTATAACGTATTGCGAACCAAAGCCGCGATACCCAGGCTCTGTTGGCGGTGAATGGCATCCGATTCATTCTCACAAGCTCCAACCCAACTGTGCAGTCAGCGTCAGAGCAAGTGGTGTGGAAGCGTCCCTTTGTCGGCGGTCACCTTGCGGCATCTAAACCTCACGTCGGCACGCCAGCCAGTGACCCCAGTGGACGAAGCCACGGGACTCCTGGCTCTGGAAGGGCTCACTTCACTCGGTCCCACTCATGTGGCACTAAGCAGCTGCTCCTTCACTCTCGATAAAAAACGGGTTCGCCGCTTGTCGCTCATCGGATATATATTTATATTTACAAATGTGAATGCGCTGAGCTGGGCTAGGGGGCTGTATTAAGTGGCTTGGTGGGCGAGAGAACTGTGGGCTGATCGAAGGGTAAAGAACCAATTATCATATTTTTACTGGCAAATGAGGTCCCCATAGTGTAGATGCTTGCCCCGAGCTCTCATACTCTGATGGTGCATTGTCCTTGAGTTGTGCGCCTTTTGGCGTCATCTGGTCCAACCCATATGAGACTAGGCTCGAAGGAAAGCTGTCTCGGGTGTGGACCAATCAACTTCAAGGACAGTGCACATTATCAGAGTTATGTTCTTTTGTTTGTATTATGACTGCAGGTATTGCGGTCTATGCAAACATGACTCCTTGCAAAAAGGTGTCAGTTTTGTTGCCAGATAGAAGGGTAAAGAACCAATTATCAAGTAGACTCCTGTTAGGGTGATAAAACGAGTGCCACTTTGTGGGACATGAACAATAACGTGGAGTTGTTGGCTCCCACCACGAGCATCTGGGAGAGTCATCAGTGGCTCGGAGCCACCAGCGGAAGCGAGGCACTGCCCCTGGGCTCGTTTGAGGATCGAGACTATGCGATGAGTCACGTGTTTCTTTGGATGTTGACTGTGACAATGGAAGTACCACACGATGACCGCCCATCACGGACCGCCACTGTGAAAGGTGATGCCACACGGATGCCGGGGGTTTCAACGCCCGCGTCACAAGCGGTGGCGGTTGCTGTTGCGGTTCATCGTTTCATGCAGACATCATAAATCGCCGGGTGGCTGGAACCGAACCCCGTGCGCGCTTTTGCAGGCAGGGGTGACGGCGCTGGCCAGAAAAAGCCACCGCAGTTATATTAAACAAAAAAATATATTCTGCAAAAGGGGAAAAAATGTAGTAGTAGGTTTTTTTGTTCCTTAACCTGAATGGAAAAAATCTGCATTTTCCCCATTTTTCCCCACTGTGTGGAAAAATTCTCAAAGCCTGTGTAACATCAGCCTTAAAAATAAACAGGCAGAGGTGGCTCATGGGGGGCTGGTGAGCGCACGCTTACGCACACACGCACGTCAACGTCAGAGTCACCGAGCCCAGAACCCCCATCGTCTGGGTTCGAAAAACATGGGCGCCCACCCACGCTGGATTTCAACCACAGGCTTTCAAGTGGTGGTCTAAACAATAACACAGCCACACCGTTCAGCTCTTTTGGGCCAGTGGTCTGGCCAAGGCCGAGAGACTTGTACACGCAATGCGGTGATCGCATGAGAGGCGTTCAAGGCACGATGGGGGTTTGCGTCTTCCTGACTTCCTGTAAAAGTGGTCCCTCGACCTATTCACCCTCAGTGGCACACTGGTCACCCCCTTGTCATAAGATGTGACATTTTTAAATAGCCAGATGGAGCGCTGCTTAGTCACCACTCGTTCATCAATCATGAGCACATTTGGTATCCGTCCCATTCTTACAGAGAAAGGCTATCGCCACGAAGCAAGGTACTGCACTTCACACAGTCTGCAGTAGGCAGGTGATGTCGCGATGTGTCATCCCAATTGAGACATTAGTAGGTAAACTTTTAAATATTATGCCATGACGCCTATTCTCTGGCTAATACACCTGACAGACTCGAACAGGACCCACCGTTGGGGCCACATCACCGCCACCCGAGGCTCCGTGTTTAAAGATGATTACTGAACTTGCTCGAGAGCTCACTTATAGAACCGTCGTTGCTCAATAAACGGGGTGCCCCGCGTTCTTCAGGGTGGCAAGCTCGGTGGCTTCCGCTGCTCACCACAGCTTGTGCAGAGCAGCAGGCCCAATGCGCGGAGCAGCAGGCCGCATGCGCAGAGCAGCAGGCAGCAGGCCGCATGCGCGGGGCAGCAGGCCGCATGCGCAGAGCAGCAGGCCGCATGTGCAGTGCGGGAGGCCGCATGCGTGGAGCAGCAGGCCGCCTGGGTGAGCTCAGCTCCACTGGTGACCTCCTGAGAGTCGTAGGTGTCGACTCTCCTCACTAACGGGTGAAGTGCACCTCACCGTCCATAGCACCTTAATGAAATAACTTCACATGCAGGTTTTCGTGGTCAACATTATGATTAATAACATGTTTTTTTTGCATTAGGCCACAATTATCTGGCCAAATGTGTGTCATAAGACCCTCCTCCACCTGACATGCTTTTTTGTTCTGACTTCCTGGATGTTGTCCTGAAGTTTCTTGGTGCAACTGAAAGTGAAACATCCCGTCTCCAATTGAGCTGAATCTGGTTGTGAGAATCACTCAACTCACCAGTGAGTGAGCTAAAACAAGTCATAATGGGCGTGTTAAACGCTTATACACTCAACACTAACATTTGTTTGGTTATGTTTGGTGGTAAAAAGGTCTTTCAACAAAAAATGCTGCCAGATCATTGCATGGCCTAATC